TCTCCAACAAGGACGAAACAGGAGAGCAGATTACAAAAGAAACAGGAGAGCAGATTACAAAGAGGTGCTGGCAGTGAAGCCACATTTAGCCTCTGCAACAGCAAGCAGTAGAGCTCCCAGATGGAAATCCAATTCTGTTCCTCCACGCTTTTCTTCTGTTTTAACTGCTATTTGGTTATCTTCTAACTACAGTGTTGAAGGGGGAAAAAATGCCTCCTTGAAAACCCCTACTACTGCAACTTGGGTTTGTCCTGTGAAGATCCTCCCCTCACAGAGTTAGGTCAAAAACTGCAGAGTGAGCTGGCACGGTGGTGCACGCCTGTAATCCCAGCACTTGGCAGACAGAGGGAGGAGGACTGCTGCAAGTTCAAGGCCAGCCTGAGCTACAGAGTGAGCTGAAGACCAGCCTGAACTGCATAGAAAACCCTGTCTCAAGAAGACAAAAGCAAAACAAAACAAAAAACTATAGAGTAAGCTGCTAGCAGCTTGGACTCAGAGAGCAGGGACTCACAGTTACACAGCATATCCTTCAACTGACAAAGGTGCCACACTAGACGGGAAAAGAAAAGGCATTCTGCTTTCTCTGGGACTCTTCAGACAGGCTTCTGGCCACTGGGGCTCACCTCGTCAGTGGGGACCAGGAGAGCAGAGAGACTCAGAGGGAATGGGCAGCCTGGTTGCCCAGAGGGGACTCACTCTGGAAGGATAAGGGATGGGAAGTGCACCTGTGTGGCTTTATATTTGCAGATGGAAAGCTGCTGTGCTCTGGGTGCTCCGAGTGTGTGCCATCCAAGCCTGCATGTACAGGGCTAAGGGCTTCTGGCCGAGGGATGACCTGAAGTTCATCTGAAGCCTTGAGGTGAAGCGGTGACTTGGCCAGGGAGGTACAGAGTTTGAAGGCAGGGATTCTATTTGTCTTTTGCTACTGACTGTCATTCTTTATTGCTAAAATAAGGTATGTAGAGCCTCTCTAAAAAGTCACATTTCATAGAAAAGTAATACCAACTAGATTAAAAATGCTTTTCTATCACAAATCTCAGTAATTTTACCAATCATGCCACCGATGTACCTGAAGTTAAATCTGTGAGCCATCATCTAAGACCTCCTGTTTCAAGGTACAGGTTTGTGACATACAAGACAAGAAGCCACAGCAGGACTCGGGAGTCCCGTGCTATGGAGTGACAATGGGCACTGCCTCTTCACGGCCCTGTTCCCTCCGACACACTGCAGATCACGGGGACTAATGAGTCTGATGGGCCAGCATGAAGACAAGTACTACCGTGTAAAAGCAGAATCGTTCAGTTGTTCATGTGAACTGGAAGCTGAATACTTCAGCACTTCTTGTCTGAACCATGGATATATGAGTTTTAGTGCAGGAAAGATAGTTTCCTAACAGAAAAACCCCTTAGTGAAGGAGTGGTACTGTTGTCAGAAGCAGAGTAGGAAACCGTATCAGCCAAAGCACAAACCGTGAAAAAACTTTCAAAAAAATGAAACCATGTGTGAATTCTTATTTATAGGCAGACTGTATTTAAAGCTTGGTCTCAAAACAGATAAAGCAACCATGGTTACCGGAGACCACACCTAACAGGAACTACCTCCGTGAGAAAGCGGTGCGGGCACCTCTCTGTGCTCCTCAGCGCCTGGTGGCTGCCTGCACTGCGCCAGCTAAGGAAAGCAGAGTTTAAGCCATCCTGCTCACTGTGAGAAAGATGTGATTTCACTCTGCCCAGGGCCACAACAGAGCCTTCCGAAGGCCCCGTTTCACAGGCTGCCGAAAAGCTGGACCCTCAGGCAGGGAGCCTCCGTTTCACACCCTGGCTCTGCCTCTCACTGCTGCGCGATGTGGGCAGGCACCTGGCCCCTTCCTTTATCTGTAAAATAGGGATCCTAGGACTTCAGACCTCCATGGTTGGCTAAGGAGATTAGAAGAACCAGCACATGAAAATCATTTAAAACAATTCAAGGGCTGGGGATGCAGGTCAGTGGTACAGTGCTTGCCTAGCATATGTGACGCCTCGGTGCCCCAACGAAACAGAACAAAACCAGTGGTTGCCAGCTGTGGTGGTATGCTGCAGTCCCAGCTACTGGGGAAGTCGAGGCAGGAGAATGGCTTGAGGGAAGCCAGGGGTTAGAGTGAGACCTGTCTCAGCAATGATAATAAGAGGCAACAAAAACAGTTCCATATCAAAACAACCTCAGAACTAAACAAAACCCCAACAGAAACAGTTCAGGATGTGGCGAAGTTCAAGAAGAGCCAGTGAGGATCCATGGACACATGGAGGCCATGCCCACACGCTCCATGAGAAGAGGACAATCCTAAGGCTTTCCTACTTGTGACTGAAGGACACTGAACTGATCTACTCTGTAAGCACCCTGGTATTAGGTACCTGGAGAACACCCTGCCTGACACAGTTCCATGACAGCAGGGCTGGGGAACAATCAGCCTTTAGGGAACATCTGATGAACGGGGAGGGCAGGGACCTAGCGTCACAACAAAAAGAGGCCAAACTATCAGCAGGTACAGTAGATACTGAAATCAGTCAGAACAACTACTGTACCATAGGGCCACTCAACTACCACAAGGCACACTGGGAGCTCCTGTTTCCTGAATGTGAAACTGTCAGGGAGAAGGTGCTGCCTACAGATGAAACTGTAAACATACTGAGTGCATCCAATAATATTTATACTTCCTAGAAACATTTGTAAGCACTTTCCATGAAAAATTATGGTGGTCATTCCCATCTACAAAGTAAACTTTCCACCAAAATATTTATATTAAAAACTTACTACAGCAAAGATTTTGTGAATAAAACTCATCACACAGGAACTACTACAAAAAAATCAACATAGTATCGCATCAAATTAAAAAGCTTTTGCATAGCAAAGAAACCACCAACAGAAGAGGCAACCCACAAAGTAGGGTAAAAAACTTTTACTAGTTACTCCCCAAAGGACTATCATCTAGAATATAGAACTTAAAAAAAAAAAAAAATCACACCCTTTAAATTTAAAGACCCAATCAAAACTGGACACCTGAAATGAATATACACCTCTTTGATGAATAAAGAGCAAATAAATACATAAAAAGAAGTTCTGGTCATTCTAGAGATTCTGTCTCACTGTAGAAAGAATGCTATTATCAGGAAATCAACCAGTAACAAACGCTAGCGGGAATGTGAGGAAAAAGGAATCTTTCTCTACTGTTGGTGGAGTGTCAATGGGTACAACCACTATGGAAATCAGTATGGACATGTCTCAAAAAACTAAAACTACAGGTTCCATTTGACCCAGCTGTGCCCTTTCCAGGTGTCTTCCTGAAAGAGAAGTCATACCGCAGAGATATGCACATAACTATGTTTAACCCAGCATGGTGTACAATAGCTACATCTTGGAAACAACCCATATGCCCATCAACAGATGAATGGATAAAGAAAATGTACTTATGGGGCTGGGGATTTAGCTCAGCGGCATAAGCACCTGCCTTGCAAGCAGGCAGTCGTGAGTTCGATCCCTGGTACCGGTAAAAAACGAAAAAGACAAAAAAAAAAAAAAAAAAAAAGAAAATGTACTTATACATACACGACAATGGAGTACTAGTCTTCCATAAAGAAAGATAAATTTGTCACTTGTAGGTAAATGCATGAATCTCAAGGTAGTAATTTTAAGTGAAATAATCAGACACAAGTTTAAACATCACGTTTTTTCTCTTGTGTGAGAAACTCAAAAGGAAATAAAGAGCAAACAGGATAGGTATCGGGAAATAGAAAGAATGTTTAAATGGGAAAGGGAACGAGGGAGGGAAGAGGGAGAAGGAAGATGGGATTTTAAAAAGAATGGAAGGGAAACAATGGACACAAAGCTTTTGTAAATGGGGAACAGAAGGAGGGTTGAAGGGCAGAGCAGAGAATGGAGAAGGAGAATTAAAATGTACTACGTACAGGTACAAATTCTTTACGATGGAAATGAAGGAAGGGAAAACAAAATATACATATGATAGCCAACATAATTGTAACACTAATTTCTTTTAGTTCATTGAAAAGATCAGTTTATGTTTATATTGGTTGATTAATTTTGCCTGTCTGTATCTTATAATCTGAGCAATTACTTTGAAAACAATATGCTATATATTTTGTTTTTTTGTTTTGTTTTGTTTTTTTAATCGGTACCGGGGATTGAACTCACAACCATGTGCTTGCAAGGCGGGTGCTAATGCCGCTGAGCTAAATTCCCAGCCCCTAATATGCTATATATTAACGATTGTTAATTTATTATCCTGTTTTGAAACTCTGCATCATTGCTTTTATTTTTGTTTTCTTTTCTCTCTTTAAAGCAAAAAAAATTCTTTGTGATGAAGGTGATCATTATACATGGCAAAATGCACTAATAAAAAAATTTTTAAGATTAAAACCTACTGTTAAAAAATCATAGGAAAATAAGCACCATGATACTGCAGAAAAGATTTAATTAGCTTCCGATTTTTTTTTTTTTTTTGGTACTGGGGACTGAACTCACAACCTTCTGCTTACCAGGCAGCATTTACACTGCTGAGCTAAATCCCTGATATTTTAACAGGTAAAAAAAATCTATTCTGATGCCTTGGAATTTCTCAGAAGAAAATAAATGAAGAAATAAGAAATAAATGAGTTCATTAGGCTGAAAATTACACTCTGTGATCTATTAAAATCTGGAGGCAGATTTTCTGAGAATTTATGACAAATTTAATAATTTCCTACTAGAATGAGTAACAATTTGAAAGCTATAAACTGAAACATGATCTGCTGTGACTAAAGGTTAATTTGTTATTTGGGAGTCAACTCTATTGATACTTAGAACAAAATACACAGCTAAGAGTCTGTGCAAAGGCATTAATGAAACACGGAGGAAATATAAAGCAGCTTCCATCACAGATGACACAAACACGTAACTCAAGCCAGCATCAGAGCACGTACTCGTGAGCCCACAGATCACAGTGAGGTGGGGCTGTGGTGTTGCTTTACCTTGAACCAGCAGCATGGGCTCCCTGCCTCCACCGTGCACCAGCACTTCCCTGCGGTAGCGCTCTCCCGCGGCTCTAGGGGGAGGAAGAGTGAGTCACACAGCTGCTCCCTCGGCTCTGTCCACACGGCACAGTTTCTCGAAGGGAGCCACACTCCTGGGGAGAGTGGCCACCATCGGACAAGGGGAGCCCTAGGTTATTATTTCCTTGCCTCTAAAAGTCAAATTTCAACTTGTGGGTGATTCTAAAATAAATAAGACCAGTTGTGATCTGTTCAATGTAACTTTTTTGGCTGTTTTGTTAGCAAGGTGCCTCTTTTTGTAGAAAGGAGTATTCGGTTAATGCACTATATAATTAATTGACGATATTCTAGTCTGTGTAACTGAGATGGGAACAACAGAGAATAACACTGTAAAGTAATAGTGAAGACTTTTAATGGCACTTAGACATCTTCCTGATCATCTTTCCTATTTTATGGAAAACGTAATTCTTTCAACATAACCGATTCTCTGTTACATCAGTTTTGACATTCCTTTCTCCCCACCAGCTCTGTAGTACCTTTCTGTACAGTTTTGGGGACATCTCCTGTGGGACCTTTTGACAGCATTAGAAGATCAAGAGTAGCACCAAACACAAAGCATGGTCACAGCCTACAGTGCGCACCAAGGCAAACAGGAAACACACGGGACAGGGGCGGTGTTCTCCATAACCCTGTCCTGCCCTGCCCGCTTCTGAGGCTCCTGCTCCTGGCCTACCCTACTTTGCAGGGCCTGCTCCTGGGCAGAGGTGGGAAAACCTAATGCAGGGGGCTCTTTTCCCAGCTATTTTTGTATGTCCATGAAAGTACAGCAACCACATGTCTAGGCACAAAGACACAACCGAGATATAAATATTTTAATGAAGTGTGCTTTCCTAATATACAAATAAGATATCTTGCCTATTTTATAGAAATCTCAAGTAGAGAGTTGCATTCCCTGAAATTGCCTTACAATCTGCTTTACCAGATTGGCTGTGAAACCTCTGAAAATAAAATCTGACAAGCAGACAAATTGTCTATAATCTGCAAAGGGTAGAAGACAAAAATCCAGGTGGGTATCAAACTGTAAAACATTTAAAATTCTATGACATTAGACTCAAGTTCAAAAGATTTTGGAGTTCAATCTAATTACTAACTGCTGAAAAAATCCAAATCTCGCATCAAGCTAAGTGAAAAGCCAAGAAGTATGGAAGCAGCAAGGCTACAGAACTAAGAGCAGAAGACGGACATGGTCACCTGAGTCCAGTCCCTCAGTTTACTCCTCCAAGTAGGAGGCCCTACTGCTGCTGTGAATGCTGGGTACAAACTCTAGACACTAAAAATCTGTATTAACCACGTTAGAGCAGTGAAGATGACAGTCTTCTCCTTCAACTGCCTGAGAAACATTTGGAAATGTATTTATTTGGGTGGTGAGGAGATAAAATGCTTTAAATAACTATGACATTAGATCATAATTGCTGGTTTACTTTCAAAGACAGCATCTTCTAAGGAATCTGGAGAATAAAACCTGACTTCCCTTGGTTGCTAATGTTCCAGGAAGTTCTGCGAGGAAGAGGTCAAATCCGAGAGCAGCCGAAAGCCCCTCGCAGCCTCTCTGTCTGGCCTGATGCCCCCACACTTCTCCGCCCAATGGGAACTTAGCCAAGCTTACTGAGTGACCAGGGAAACAGGCTGGCCTGCTCCAGGTCCCTGTGCTCCCTGAACTCTCTGTGTCTCTGTTCTGAGGAAGTGGGGCATGCTGCCTGCAATGTATCTGTCCCAGTTTCCTTACTGAGTCATTTCAGGCTTGTGCCCCTGGCCAATCCAAAGACGTGCTCCAGGGAGTGGACCAGGGAGCAGGCACAGACACTTTCTTTAGACTTCGACTAGAAATCGGCAGCCTCGGCCATCTAAACCACAGATCACCCTGACCGAGAGTGCGTAGGGGTGCCACTAGGGCAGGCAATGTGTACAGGTGGCGCCAGAGGCCAACAGGAAGCTTCCTGCCCAGTGAGGGCAAGTGCTCCAACAGCAGGCAAGAGGCGATTTCTAGAGCAAACTGGGTGTCCACGGCAGCAAGCGGTGCCTACAGCAGCGCTGCTCCCGAGTGCGGGAGGGTCAGACACCATATGCTGGGCAGGAAAGAGGAAAGGCGTTGTCCACAGCAGTGACCTTCACAGGCCTGGGCCCAGGTCAGGGCCTGTCATGGCAACAGGAAGCATGGAGAACAGGGCGTGTGCACAAGTGTGGAAGCATAGCAAAGCAGTGGAGGCCACGTGCACTGACATGAAGGAGTCGCCCACACGTGCCTGTCAGGGGCCCTCAGGCTGCGGGTGAGCAGGGCTCCAGGGCCTCAGTCAGCTGTGGTGCCCCCACTTCCTGCCACCTTGGCAGGCTTCTGGGCACTGATGTGGGGCATGGAGAAGTGGGGGTCACAATGGCTGAAGGAGAGGATATTTTACGAATGCCCCTGCCCCTCTTACCTGTTAAAAGGATCCTGTAGAAAACACTCCTTCCAAACCATGGAGGCTACAGCCCTGGACATCAGGTAAGAGTAGTATTTGGCACCATAGCCCACCAGGTGGCTGAATCTCAGCTGCCAGGCCTGCCCAAAAGAAACAGTGCAGGAAACAATTAGAGCCCTGCCCCGAGTCTGAGAATGCTACCCAAGAGCACACGGTAGAAGAGCTGCAAGCGTTTTCATTTCAGTTTCACTCCAGGTGGCCCGGTCTCCCCATCTGAATATTCTCACATTCTGTATACCAAGATGGGCTCAATGGGGTCTCCCTAACATTCCTATGTGAAAGCCCTACACCAGAATCTCAGAATGTGGTTGTATTTGGAAATACAGCCTTTAAAGAGAAGTCTAAGCTAAAATGAGGCTGGTATCCTCAGAAAAAGAGAACAGCTGGACACACAAATAGATACTAGGGGCAAAGCAAGGAGGACAGGCCACGTGAGGACAGAGAAGGAAGTCCACCATTTGTAATTCAGACAGAGGCCTCAGGAGAAACTAAACTTCCAAATACCCTGATCTTAGATTTCCAAGAATTATCTAGAATTGTAAGACACCAAATTTCTCTTGTTTAAGCCAACAAGCCTAGGGTACTTTATTATAACAGTCCTAGCAGACTAACAGGTACACAAACAGAATTTCACACCATATACATACAATCTGCAGATACACACACACACACACACATTCAAATATATGGTTATTCTTTCTAAGTGACTTTAATTAGTTATCTTGACTTTATTTTTATAACAGGATTATTTAGAAGAAGATGCTACAAATTTGGTTAGTTCAAAAGTTTTACTATGCAATGACTATTTGCTGCATTAAGTCTTTTTTTATGGGATCATTTTTCTAAAGCTTAGTATCTTGTATGTTTTACCCTAATTCTACTTTATAATAAAACAAAAAGGCACAGGAGAGAAATGGGATGCAACTGGACACACTGCTATATGAGACAGAGAATCTGGGAATGCTTCTTTTCCAAGATCAAGGCCAAGAACTGAAGGCAGCCACCAGCCACAGCAGCCTTGTGAGGAAGAAACCACCCGGCTCCCTGCTTTCTCTGAGCTGCTCTAATCATAACAGTGAATTGCTTTGTCTAAGCTCATCCCTTTGGGGTTCACATCTGTGACAGAAACATAAAGAGAAGCCCAGGAGGCAGCAGGAGGGATAACAGCAGACCCGAACCTTCCCTGGTCTTCCAATCAGCTGGGAACACTCCGCCTGGGACATCAGGAGAGGAGCCTTGAGAGCCTATGTGTCCCTTCTGGGCTTAAGGCTGTGGCCATCAGAAAGGCCACATGGGTTTTCACAGGACAGTACTGTCCCAGTGGAAGTGTCTTTTCCTACAAATATGGCTCTTTCTCTGAAAGTAGGACTTGCGAATATTTGCACTCTGTAGGTCAGCAGGAGGCAGTCACAGAGGGCAAACGCACGAGCTCTGGTGCCAAGCCCTGTGGCACAGGCACCAGGAGAGGCTGGATTGCGATCACTGTCTTCAGAGGACACACTTCCCCTCTTACTGTCTGTGCTTTTCTGAAATAAATCTGACAGTGCAGCCACCCACTTTTTCCAGAAATATGCTTTATCTGGCACTAAAACTGTTTGGAAAAAGCAAAGTCTTTTGAACAACTGTCATTCTCTAACAGATTTTATAACTCCTAGGAAAAATATAAATAAGATACAGGCCTTAGTACAGCTCTATAGGCAAACTCCAGTTAGTGTATCCAGGAGTCGGGTCCTGAAAAGATGGTTTCTACTTCACAGAAGTGTGGCAAGTCTTGGGGTACTCTGGGTGCCCCTACCACGTGGTAGCTTTCATGCTGAGGCGACATGCCAGTCACAATCTGACCGCATGCAGTGCTTTCAGACTATAACGGGTGGCACAGACTAAAGAAGCTTTACAGAAAGGGTGCATGAGTGCGTGGATCAGTGTAGGACGTGAGGCTGTGATGGCAGGAAAGCACAGCAATCCCTCAAGGTCCTTCCCCTTCAGCAAAAAGATGCGACAGGAAATGCAATGGCACCTTGGCAGCCACGTCCCCAAGGAAAGGGTCATGTGTGGCATGTCCCTAGGGGTGCACCCTGTGGGGCATCTGTGAAGTCAGCACCCAGCAAGGTGGCACAGCCCAACAGAGGTGTGGGGCTTGGCCACTCCTGTGCCAGGTAGGTGCGCCTGCATGGCTGTCACCTTGAGTCTGTGTCACAGCGATCAGATCTGTGCCCACCTTAACCCAGGGCATCCCTCACTCAGGAGCAGTACAGTCCCCACACAGCACCTCAAAACTGGAACCGTGCACACACACCTCACCCCCTTCCCACCCCCCGCCAACCTGGCCCTGGAGGCATGGAAGCTGAGAGAGGCCGACTTCCCACCCACTTGGGATGCAAGTGGTGCTTAAGGCAAAAGGCTCAGTATCCCCCATGGTCAAAGTCCCACACAGAAAACTCTCTCTGGCTTTATTTTTAGCTTCGAGTGCACACACAATTCTGGGTAATGTCTTATATTAATGTTTTTACTTTATGCTAGAATCTGAACCTACTAAATGCTGCTTTGAACACAGGGCCAGCTGGTGATTTCTCACACAGAGCGAATCTGGACATGCTGATATCTTTGGTAATAGAATATGGTTGCTATCTGAATTTGACACCTTACCAAGACCAGGCCAGTGCTATGAATAATACAAGCATCTCTCAAAGTGGAAGCCCCAGAATTACTAGCAGGGGTCTGGCCTTTGAAACTCTTCTTGGTGATCTTTCAGAATGTGTCTGGCAGCCTTTACATAGAGGGCAGAGCCTAATTCTGTTTAGATTTGACCTGAGTATAGTTTTGTTTTACTCTAAAAGCCAGCCTACTTCAGTGGGGCTTGATTTCAGCTAATATCTAGGTCCTCAGTTTCATTAACTTGTCACCAAAATTCCACATAAACAAAATAATGAAAATAAGACCTTTCAGAGCTGAAAAGAGACGCCAGGGTTTGTGCAGCATTCAGTCACCTAAGCTGCTACACTGCCTGCCTTGCGGGACCAGCTCTACTTGGACACAGGCTTGCTCGCTGGGTCTCGCTCTTAATTACAGGTTTCAGTTTGGTCCTACACCCTTCCCACACCTCAAGTCATGCTCAAGAAATTACACCCACCTGTCACCTTTTGTCAGAGGTTTGCAAGTTTATGACTGACCAAGACCTACAATTCCACTGTTGTATGAACACAAAGTTCCTGCTAACTGAACCCAATATTAAGTCCTTGTTTCCAGTTCACCCATTCATCCCGAAAAATGAAGACAGCGTTTCATACTGGGTTCTAGAATTGGGTCCTTCTTCCTTTGAAATCAAAGGTTTCTTCTTCTGAGAAGTATCTGTCAGTTGGATATTGTTTTCAACCTTTCTTTGATAGTTCATGTATAGATCTAGATTCAAAAACAAACAACTCAGAGGCCTTTGCATTTTCCTTTATTCTACCTCTAAAAGCTACAGACTTTCAAATCCTACACTATTCCAAGCACAGCTTCTCTGTTCTCTTTTACTTTTAAGGGCTGATGACTAAACTACATGTCCAATTTTTTATTTTTAGACAGGATCTCACTATGTTGCCCAGGCTGGACTCCAACTGTGATTCTTCTGTCACAGTCTCCCAGAGTGCCGGGCACCCAGGCCAGTGCCATCACACTGGGCTGGGCACAGGTATTCAAGCGTGTGCTGCTTTAGACAATCTCGGGAATCAGGAGCGTCTGGGCCCTGTGGATTCCATTTCCTGCCTTGGAACTCAGAGAACATGAGGCCTCTGAGGATTCTTTGCTTATCCCCTTGTCTAACTCCACTGCCCTCACAAAGGGGAGGGCAGCTGTCTACTTACTGTCCTCCCTTTCTAACCAGATCAAGTACGCACTCAGTGCTGAATGCGGGAACGAGTCTCTCAATTACACTATCGCATAGTGTACTGTTCTACTTCCAGTGGGATGTGTATAAAACATTTACCTAACTGCATTTCAATACAACTTTATTGCAGGAGCATTACAAACTGCATGGGAATAGAAATGATAGCTGCTTCCTTACAAGTAGTTCTGAACAGAAATTTTCTGAAAGTCATGGGCCCCATGCTCTGTCCAGGTTTAGCGTTGGCACAGTATCTGCTGGAATACAACAGGAATTCAATAGCATTCTTCTGGATGGCTACCTGCTAGACAGAGGGACGGATGGACAGACGCTACAGGACTTTTTCACAGTGATGCTCAATGTTATGACAGACTATTGACATCTTGCCCAGATGCAGAGCCCAGGAATTACATTAGCATCACAGACAAGAGATTTCCCAGTGCTAAAAACACATTTGAACCTCAGACTACTAGTGAGTTTTTTAAAAACCAGTTCTTTGACTGTATTATTTGACAGGTGTAAGCCTTTTGAGGCTAATTTTGGCATGAGACCATCAGGCAGAGAATCTGAGACGTGCCTCTTAGAATGTGAATTCTATCTCCTTCAGGCCTCAGAGGCTCCAGGGCTGGGCTGGCGGCAACACATAGCACACAAAAGCCCACTGTTCATGCATGCACCTGCTCTGATTAGGACCACGAACGGAAGACAGAAGGAAGCACACTGGCTCCTCAGGCTCGGCAGCACACTCTGTGGGGAGCATTTCACAGGACAGGAACCATTGGTATTCAGTGGTCTTTAACTGTCTGACTCCAATAGGGAGCAGAAGGAGATGCCCCTCACTTGCCTTGGCCCGTTCTTAACCTTTTCTTCTAATGTGTGTGTGTGTGTCTGAGCGTGTGTCTTTATTTCTGGGAATTCATACTCTAGTGTTTCTAACGAATACAAAGCACCTACTGACATTTTACCAAAACCCGTGAAACAACAGTGCCAGGGAAACAGGAATTCCTTCGGAACTTACAGTGACGTCAGATAGCCCCACACCTCTGCCACCCTGGGAACCTTGGATCACAGGAAACCAGGTGCCTGGCCCAGTCCTCTGCACTGCGGGGCAGGCAGCCAAAGCAGGAAATACCTGAGATTCAGTGGCTGTCTGAATCAGAGGTGCACAGGAACTTGTTGGGGAGCAGGGTGCAATCTCAGGCCTGTAGCTCACCC